GGGCTCTGTGGGGATTGGGGGGCTCTGTGGGGATTGGGGGGCTCTGTGGGGCAGGGGGGGATCGAGGTGGCACCCATGGGGCAGAGGGGGATCAGGGGGGACCAGGAGCAGGGGGGCTTTGGGGACACTGTGGGGCAGGGGGTGTCACCACACACAGGGGTCCCGCTGTGGGATTGGGGTGTCCCCACGGGTCTGGGCTGTCCCTGTGGGTCCAGGGTGTCCCCACAGCCGGTGACACGGCGCTGTCCCCATGCCTGGTGACATGGTGCTGTCCCAGTGACACGGCGCTGTCCCGGTGACACGGCGCTGTCCTGGTGACACAGCACTGTCCCGGTGACACGGCGCTGTCCTGGTGACACAGCGCTGTCCCGGTGACACGGTGCTGTCCCGGTGACACGGCGCTGTCCCGGTGACACGGCGCTGTCACCATGCCTGGTGACACGGCGCTGTCCTGGTGACACGGCGCTTTTCCCACGGCCGGTGACACGGCGCTGTCCTGGTGACACGGCGCTGTCCCCACGGCCGGTGACACGGCGCTGTCCCGGTGACACGGCGCTGTCCCGGTGACATGGTGCTGTCCCCATAGCCGGTGACACGGCGCTGTCCCGGTGACACGGCGCTGTCCCGGTGACACGGTGCTGTCCCGGTGACACGGCGCTGTCCCGGTGACACGGTGCTGTCCCGGTGACATGGCGCTGTCCCGGTGACACGGCGCTGTCCCCACGGCCGGTGACACGGCGCTGTCCCGGTGACACGGCGCTGTCCCGGTGACACAGCGCTGTCCCCATGCCTGGTGACACAGCGCTGTCCCGGTGACACGGCGCTGTCCCGGTGACACGGCGCTGTCCCCGTGGGTCCGGGCTGTCCCCACGGCCGGTGACACAGCGCTGTCCCGGTGACACGGCGCTGTCCCCGCAGCGTGGCCGCGGTACCGCGTGCTGGGCGCGGCCGAGTCGGGCCAGTACAACCTGGAGATCCGCGACGCCGAACTCTCCGATGACGCCGTCTACGAGTGCCAGGCCACCGAGGCCGCGCTGCGCTCGCGCCGCGCCAAGCTCACCGTGCTCAGTGAGGGCTGGCCCCTGTCACCGCCATCCCCAATGTCCCCACGGGGTCCCCAGTGTCCCCATTCCCGGTGTCCCCAATGTCCCCACGGGGTCCCCAATGTCCTAAAGGGTCCCCAGTGTCCCCATTCCCAGTGTCCCCAATGTCCCCAGGATCCCCATTCCCAGTGTCCCCAGTGTCCCCAGTGTCCCACAGGGTCCCCAATGTCCCCAGTGTCCCCTTCCCATTCCTGGTGTCCCCAATGTCCCCAATGTCCCCCAGGATCCCCAATGTCCCACAGTGTCCCACAGTGTCCCCAATGTCCCCTCTGTATCCTCTGCCACCTCCATGAGGAAAATCCCCATTTCCCACCCCAAATCCCCATTTCCCACCCCAGATCCCCCATTTCGGGTCCCCATTTCCCACCCCAAATCCCCAATTTCCAATCCCCATTTCCCACCCCAAATCCCCAACCCCAAATCCCCCCTTTCCCACCCCAAATCCCCAACCCCAAATCCCCATTTCCCACCCCAAATCCC